TGATAATAAGACATTTTAGATCTAATTGGTATGCCATGATAAAACAAATTTAGATCTCTGGTGTGCCATGCAATCAACAGATTTTGGATAATGTCTTTCATTGGTATGCCATGACAATAACAGATGTTATATATATTATCTCTGATTGCTGTGTGATTTAAGATCTTGTCTCTGATTGGTATGCCATGATAATAACAGGTGTTATATATATATATATATATATATATATATATATATATATATATATATATATATATATATATATATATATATATATATATATTATCTTTACTGTGTGATAACTGAGTTTAGATTTTGTCTTTAGTGTGCCATGATATTAATAGATTTTAGGCCATAATTTTAATTGGGTGCAACTACAATAACATATATTAAATCTTTCTCTCATTGGTATGCCACGATAATAACAGATTCTAGATATTATCTCTGACTGGTTTGCCATGATAATAACAGATTTTAGATCTTACCTCTCGTGTGTGCATTAATAACAATGTTCTTTGTTTATTTTATTTTTTAACCTGTTAGCCGATTCATGGCATACATTTAATCAATTAACTGATCAATTAATCAACAGACAGGGAGAGATATACAGATGGATGGATGGACAATAAGTTAATATGCATTTGTCAACTAAAACCTGTCCATAAAGGACACAAAAATGTGATCTCTTGAGTGATTTTTAAAGACAGTTTCATAGTAACAAAAAGATAGATAAATAGATACACAGATGAATGGATGGATGGATAGATGGATACAGACCTGGACCCACTCCAAGTACTGTCCTGGATCCTGCAGCTATCTGTGTTCTCCCTGCATCCCGAATCAAACTTGCTGTCAACCCTAAAGACACTGCTCTATTAGACAACTCAATTCTGAAATGAAGAAAACAAAGCTGAAAAGTTTGCTTTATAATTTTTAAAAGATTCCAAACAAAAAATATTAATTTGATTGGGATAACTTCATAAGTTTGCTGGTCAAATAGAATTTCATGTAATTTGCACTGAATGTAGAGAAAATATAAAGATAAGATTGTGTAATTTAAAAAATATCACAAAACATGGCAGACTGATAATTTTACAATAAGCAGATCTGGGTCGATGCTGTTTTAAGTCATGTGAGCACATTACACTGGAAAATATGGTATTTATTTTAATTCCTTCAGATACTCTGGAACTCTTCACTAATGAATGACAAATCATAGATAACATGTCTATATATGCATAAGCCATCAAGCCTCCATTATCAAGGTGATATGTCTATACACACTAAGCCATCAAGCCTCCATTATCAAGCTAATATGTCTATACATACATAAGCCATCAAGCCTCCATTACCAAGCCACATTATTTTTCCCTATCCACATTAATGACACACCTTGTCATAATAATCATCATTCATTACACATGATATGTACAATTTTTGTTTCATATTTTTAAACTGGAACACAATAAATTGGTTAAAACACACAAATTTATCACAATATGAATATATATTTCATGAAAGGTTCAACATTCTAATGGACCTGTTGCTTTATATCAGTCCCACATTAATATGTGCCAATACATTGGTCTACCATTCAATACTATCACTGTCTGTATTATAAATTACAGGCATAGTGAAAACTTATTGGTTCTTCAGGTTTAATATCTGCGACCTGGCAGATGATCATTATATATTGCATACAATTTCAAATAAACATAAATTTAAAAGTAATTTTTGTGAATATTTTTGAATATATATATATATATATATATATTCAAAATAAATACTAACTTATACTGTAGTAATTCTCAGTAGAAAACACTTCGATTTCAGACAGTTATTATTACATAGTCATCTTTTCTAATTATTCAAGTTATGACTGAAGACCATGATTAACAAGATAGCTACTACATTATGCATGTGACAGACCAGGGTCTACATATCACTGCAAGCAAAGAAAAATAGTCATGATCTATTAGTGCTTAATGTGATGGGAGATTTTAGTCAATATTATTTACAGATGTGAGCATTTTATATGTAGGAATAAATGCAGCAATCAATTAGTAATTAGTAACTTACAAAGACTCCTCATTGTCTGTCTTCACCACAACTTTAGGTTGACCATACATTCTCCACTGCTGAAGGAGCATGGGATTTGTATGGGATAATTTTTCCAGACAACTAATAGATGCATGACAACACTGTAACAGATGATATCCATATATATACATGAACACATGACAACACTGTTAGCCATGTTCAAATTTTACACATATACATGACAACAATATAATCAACAAATTCAATTTATATACATATATATGACAACAATGTAATCAACAAATTCAAATTTATACACATATACATGACAACAATGTAATCAACACCTTCAAATTTATACACATATACATGACAACAATGTAATCAACACCTTCAAATTTATACACATATACATGACAACAATGTAATCAACACCTTCAAATTTATACACATATACATGACAACAATGTAACAGACAAGTTCCACATTTATACATGTATGCATAACAATACTCTAACAAACAAGCTTCAAAATTAATAATGTATATATGACAATAATGTAACAGGCATGTTCCATAATTATGCATGAATACATGACAACGATGTAACAAAGAATTTCCATATTTATACAGGTATAATGTGCATCCAACATAGGACAGACCAATATTTGATGTTGTACAATGTACCTGTAGATCAGGTCATCCAACATAGGACAGACCTATATTTGATGTTGTACAATGAATCCTGTAGATCAGGTCATCCAACATAGGACAGACCTATATTTGATGTTGTATGATGTACCTGTAGATCAGGTCATCCTACATAGGATAGACCTATATTTGATGTTGTATGATGTACCTGTAGATCAGGTCATCCTACATAGGATAGACCTATATTTGATGTTGTATGATGCACCTGTAGATCAGGTCATCCTACATAGGATAGACCTATATTTGATGTTGTATGATGTACCTGTAGATCAGGTCATCCTACATAGGACAGACCTATATTTGATGTTGTATGATGTACCTGTAGATCAGGTCTTAAACTGTTCATTATACCTATGATTTAAATTAATAGAGACCCTGAATTGCTGGTACACTAATTTATAGCTGAATTGGATCTGTACTTTTCTCAGCCAAGTATGTGTTACACACTAATCTTTGCTATTCACTACTGAATATGTGCAAGACAATAATAAATGCATTAGGAACATTATAAGTCAAATTCACTTAAGTTTTGTCATTTTCATTTAAGATAAAGCTACATCATGACTGGGCAGACAAAGGAATTAAGTTTTATAACCTAATCTCAAAGGGGGTTCAAGTAAAAATGAAGAAAATAAATTTATAAAGCAAAGACCTTGATAAAACCTTGACAATGACTCAAACTGTGAAACATAAGTGATGTAATACTGGTTCATCACTGTACATTAAACATTTAAAGTAACATACAGTACATCTAATGACAATACACAAGATATTCATTATTTATTAATAGCTCTTAAGTTACAAAGCAGAAGGAAAATGTTACTTGAATCTGCATCACTGATATGTGACTGACCTTGATGATAGGACACTCCCCTTCCATCTGTTTTAGTGATGATTAATTGTTATGTCTAGTTTCATCCCTTCATCTCAAATAGCTTGAAAATTGCAGTGGAAAGGAAAATTTAAAGGAAACTTCAATATATTACACAATTACTTTATCTTGAAGATATAGTACACAACAATGTTTCTAAAGCTCAAACAGCTTCAATTTTATACAGTGTAAAGAAAAGAGTGCGTAAAAAACAAAGAGTATTGATCATTGACCTTGACCTTGAAGATCCAGTTTCATCCCTTTAAAGTTACAGAATGTGATGGAAAAATCTAACCCTGAACCTTGACCTTGAATATACAATTACATATAATAATGCCAAGTTTCATCCCCTACAAAAATTTAGCTTTATAAATATAGAACAGAATGGAAATTATAATCGATAACATTAAAATATTCAGCCATGATCATGATCCTGAAAATAGGGCCCCTAATGTCACATGACCAACTACACAAAGAAAAAATTCTTTTCATGAAACATGATATTGATAGTACTTTCCATTCTGGGGATAGCCACAATGGCAGCTATCTTGGAGGTGTAATTGGCACTATTTTTGTTAAAGACGAACCTACATAACAAAAAGTCTCATGGTGCAAAACCCATGTCAATATGACTATCTATTTAGTTGGAGTGTTTGAAACTGGAGTTTCAAGATGGTTGCATTGCGGCAATATTGAATGTGAGATCAGCATCATTTGTACAAGGTAAATATAAGAATTTTTGAGTAATACTCCTTGCTGATATGACCATCCATTCATGGGGATTTTCAAGAAGGCCACTGTGCTATCAAATTTGATCTCCAAATAGTACAATTATCCTTATGACCAACATGACCTTGGGGTGAAGTTTCAAGACAATCTTCCAACTAGTTCAGGAAAAGTGGTGATAACAAACTTTACCAACAGATGAGAGATGAGAGACAACAGTCCAACCTATAAACTCTACTAAAAATAAGAGTGTGAAATTACAGTTTTAGCTATCTTTGTTGCACATACAGCACATTATTCATTACACACATTCCAATGGAACAGGAAAAAATAATTTCTAGACAGGACTAATGCTCTAGTGACCAAAGAATCCAAAATAAGATGATTTCTTTCTTTTAATCAGCTTTTGCATTCTTAAGCAATAACAAGATTTTCCATGTGGCCATAATGGATGTCAAATTATCAATGGGAGGAAAGTTAAATCAATCCTGTTGACATACTGCAATATGGTAGTGACAATAAAATACAGTAAAAATGATGACTCCTACTCATTCCTTTGTCCATATTTTAAGGTTAATTTTTGTAAGACTTATGGCAATATCACAAAGTCTGGCAGGTCTTCTAATCTCTTAATTAGGAATGCAATTTTTGGTATGACTCAGCTGGGGTTCGAACCCACAACCTCATGCATCTGAGGCTGATGCTCTAACCACTTAGGCCACCAAAGCGGACCTCAGCAGCAAATAGTCTATCATTTGCTGATGAGCTATTAACACTAACCACATATACTTTAATAAGTGCACTCCCCTCTCTTGGTCAAATTCACATAAACATCATCCATTTCTAAGTGCATCAACCTGATTGGAGGGGGGGGTGAGAGAAGCTAAAATCAATCTGAAACAATATTATTTTCTTAATTCTACCACCATGTATGTATGTTGTCACAACACTACTTAATATTGTCAGTCAAAAAGAATATTTAGGAACATAGTATCAGCCTAGTACAATAAGACTGAACCTAATTTAATTTATCCAAACTATATTTTTTAAGTGTATAATTAAGGTATTATGTCCAATATATAATTTTAATTGAAATCAAGATTCTACTAATTAGGCTGCAGGCAAATGAACTGATGATTATTAAAAACCCTAATGTATTAACTGACCTTTCAACAACTTTCTGCATATCAGTAATTTCTGTGGATCTCTGACTACTAAGACTTCAAGCAATCTGAATATCAGTATTTCCTGTGGATCATGGACTACTTTGATGTCAAGCAATCTGCATATCAGTAATTCCTGTGTATCACTAACTGCTTAGACTTTTGCAATCTGACAAGCATTATGCAATTGCTTATACATCTTGTTTGTTTAAGTTTTCACTGACAGAACTCTGACACTGGGCATACTTGCCTGATTAGATGATTCAAAATTATCTTTCCACTTTTTTTTGGTGCATGTTAAGCAAAACGTTCAACAGACACTCAGAAGTACCAATGAAAAATGTATATAAATTTTCCCAAGAAAATGTTTTAAAGAATTTTATATTTTAATTAGAATGCAAAACTTTGTTGATAGGTCCATTCGCTCAACCATCAACATAATCATCCAATCCATCTTAAGCATTTTTCTCCAAGTATTTCTCCATCTACAAACTAGCATAGGTCGCCATATGTTCCTTTTAAAACTACTGTATTTAAGCCATTACAATTGCATAGGACTGTAACAAAAAGTTAATGACTACATTATATTTTACCTGTGCTGTTATTTTTCCTCTTCCCATCTTTAGATCCATTCTGACCACTATCACCATTTTTATTTCTCCGCTATCTGCCAAGTAATCAGCATCTGTTAAATCTGTCTACAACAGATATATAAACTTTGATAATTATATATATATATATATATATATACATATATATATATATATATATATATATATATATATATATATATATATATATATAAAGAATACAAATCATATGGCGAATAACAACCCTTTCAAGCGTACTGGATCCACCAAGGGATCACGTGTTAGGGATTAATTAAAATATAAAATAGATGCAATAAACTGACAACGAACAATATGAAACTAGTAACTAACTAGCCTAAGTGCTTTCGACTCTTAATGAGTCTTTTTCAAAGGTAAATACAAAACATATATACGACAAACAAATAAACACAAAAACGTTGTGTTTGTAAACCTCTACATGGCTGTCTCCACATGTGTTAAAACTATAAATACAACCAGCTTGTATAGACTAGTTGCGGAGACTGAAAAAGGGTGTATAATTCCCTAAAAGTCTACAAGCCAAAGCGACATCTATTTTTACTTTTAGCATTTATGTAACGCAGATTATATCCTGAATATTTGATTCTATGCCGGTTATTCTTATAGTAAAAATTGAAGGATAATAAGAAGATTTAGAAAATGTTAAATTCTACTAGTGCATAGTTTTCATTTTCTAGTCTTCTTGGTTTAGACCGCTTGGTTTCAATGTTCTAAGGCAGCATATCCAGTATGATTCCTTTTCCTTCGTAGTTTCGGAACTCCAGCTGTGGTTTTTAGCAATAGCGATAAGTATTATATCCCTGAAAGTGTGGCCAGGGGAGTTGAAGTGTTCTGCAACCGGGCTTCTGTACAGCTTTTTTGTCATCCAATCAGATCTATGAAGGTTTATCCTTTTGTGTAGCTTTTCAGTTTCTCCGACGTACTGAAGGCCACAGATCTTACATGTGATGAGATAAATCACATTCTCTGTTTTGCACATTTTGTTTAGTTTAGTTTTTCTTTAGTCACTCTGCTAGTGAATGTCTTGGTCTCTATCATATGTTGACAGGTTTTGCATCTTTTATCGCCACAGGGTCCAGATTGACTAGGTTGGTTTTGACTAGCGATTGGCATTAGCTTTGCCCTGACTAGGATTTCCTTTAGGTTTTTTGATCTCCGGTAAGCTACTACAGGTTTGTTCGGAAGTATTAGGTTTAGTATGTCTGACGATTGCACAGTTGGCCAGTGGTTTGCGATGATTTTACCTACTTTGGGATTGTCTGGGTGATAGGTCAGAATAAATGGTATCCTATCACCCTTTTCTTTCTGTCCATATCTGAGTAGGTCATCACGGTTTGTTTGTTTGGCCCTTGGATTGCCTCCGCAATCAGTTCTTTGTCATAGCCTCGGTAAATTAAATGTTTAGCCAGCTCTTCAGACCTTTCTAGGAATCTTTCATCATCGTGGCAAATTCTGCGTATCCTCAGTGCCTGGCTATATGGAATGTTCCTAATGCAGTGTTTTGGATGACAGCTGGTTGGGAGGAGATACTGGTGTTTGTCGTTTGGTTTCAAGTAGATGTCTATGTGTAATTTGTTTTCCACCAGTCTGTTTGTTGTGTCCAGGAAAACATGATTTGAGTTGGAAATTTCTGCCGTGAATTTTATTGAAGGATGGAAGTTGTTTGCCTTTGATATGAAGTCATCCAGACTTTCTCTTCCATACTGCCACTTCATTTCTATATCATCGATAAAGCGTAACCACTCGTATGGTGTACGCTCAACCGATGCTAAGAGCTGACCCTCAAGTTTTCCCATGAAAATGTTAGCATACGAAGGGGCCATTTTAGTACCCATTGCAGTTCCATTGATTTGTAGGTAGTTTTCTTCATTAAATTCAAAGTTGTTGAGTTTTAGGACAAGCTCCAGAAGTTGGACTAAGAAGTGTGTGGGTGGATTGTTTACAGTTCTTGTTTCTCATGCTTCGCTACATGCCTGTAACCCTTCGTTGTGCGGTATGTTGGTGTACAAAGATGTGACGTCTAAGGAAGCAAGTAATGTATCTGGTAGTAATTGTTCACTAGCTTTGCTTTTTATAAGATAAAATCGATAGTCAAAACCAACCTAGTCAATCTGGACCCTGTGGTGATAAAAGATGCAAAACCTGTCAACATATGATAGAGACCAAGACATTCACTAGCTGAGTGACTAAAGAAAAACTAAACATACATGGTCCAAACAAAATGAGCAAAACAGAGAATGTGATTTATCTCATCACATGTAAGATCTGTGGCCTTCAGTACGTCGGAGAAACTGAAAAGCTACACAAAAGGATAAACCTTCATAGATCTGATTGGATGACAAAAAAGCTGTACAGAAGCCCGGTTGCAGAACACTTCTCCTCCCCTGGCCACACTTTCAGGGATATAATACTTATCGCTATTGCTAAAAACCACAGCTGGAGTTCCGAAACCATGAAGGAAAAGGAATCATACTGGATATGCTGCCTTAGAACATTGAAACCAAGCGGTCTAAACCAAGAAGACTAGAAAATGAAAACTATGCACTAGTAGAATTTAACATTTTCTAAATCTTCTTATTATCCTTCAATTTTTACTATAAGAATAACCGGCATAGAATCAAATATTCAGGATATAATCTGCGTTACATAAATGCTAAAAGTAAAAATAGATGTCGCTTTGGCTTGTAGACTTTTAGGGAATTATACACCGTTTTCAGTCTCCGCAACTAGTCTATACAAGCTGGTTGTATTTATAGTTTTAACACATGTGGAGACAGCCATGTAGAGGTTTACAAACACAACGTTTTTGTGTTTATTTGTTTGTCGTATATATGTTTTGTATTTACCTTTGAAAAAGACTCATTAAGAGTCGAAAGCGCTTAGGCTAGTTAGTTACTAGTTTCGTACTGTTCGTCGTCAGTTTATTGCATCTATTGCAATAGTATAAACAGTAAAACTTTGATAACTAAAAATAGTATATACAATAAAAGTTTGATAACTCAAAATAGCAATCACTTGAATACCGGACATGAAGGTGCTTAGTCCTGATGTAGGACATTGTCCTTTCTATTACCAAGTAAAACTCAAAAGAGCTACAAACTCGAACAAAATCTCAGTCTAAAAGTTCTTCAAGTTTCTTAAGTTTTACTGAAAAACAACAAGAATAATAATTATATATAGAAGCCAGCACAAATATCCACTCTTATGTCCTACAACCTAACCTTGTTCAAATCTAGATTCAACAATTTTTGTTGTCATCAACTCAGCCTCCTATAGCATCATCATCAACCAGAATGTACTTATAATAATTTACAAAGCTCACCTATTTGAAGCTTTACATAGTCTCCAGCAGCAATTGTAAACATTAAAACTAGAGCAAAAACCAAATTCTGAATAATGTGACCTTGACCTACAAAGATTGGTTCATGTGACACTTTATAAAAGACATACAAATAATATAAAAACAAATCATTTACTGTGATTTTAAAGTGCTAAAATGAGTTGATAACAACCAGGTGGTGATTAAACTTAGAGTGACAGCCAGTTGATCATTATTACAAGCACAGTTCATTCATCAATAATCACCTTGACCAACAACTAAAGCTGTGTCCTCATAAGAAATGCATTCAGTCCATACAAATTCATTCACACATATCATACAAACATATAACAGTTTATTCATCAGTAATCACACTCACTGGTTATGACAGTTGAGTCCTCACATGAATGCATTCAGTCCATAACAATTCATTCACACATATACAAACACATAACAGTTTTTTCATCAGTAACCACACTCACTGGTTATGACAGCTGAGTCCTCACTTGAATGTATTCAGTCAATACCAATTCATTCACACATATCATATACACAGATAACACAGTTAACTCATCAGTAGTCAGGGTGACTTGCTATAACAGCTGAGTCCTCACATG